CCTGAATTATTCCAAAAATATGCAAGATAAAAAAATGTTTTAAACAAAAGTTGCAGGACTTCAAATACAGCATTATGTAACAATATCAGTATGACATTGAACAGCGTCGTCAAGGTCACGTAAAGATCACTTTAAATTTTTTAATGAAAACCTCCACTTTTTATTACATATTCTTATAGTTCAGTTTTAGAATTTTTCAAAACACAATAATAAAGTATTTTTTTTAGTTATTAGATCTGAAGTTTATAGAAATTTAACATAAAATACAAAATATCTAGTAAAACATTCAGTTTTTGGTAATTTTACTTTAATATTTTTATGTACAGAACAATGAGACCAATTAATTGATATAAGAAAAACACAGAGTTGATTTGAAAAAAGTAATTTGCAATATATTTTTTTTTATATGAATGAAAAAATATTTTGTTATAGTGTTTTGAAAAGTTCTCGAGCGAAGCTACAAGAATATGGAAATGCAGAGAAAGTTACATTATATATACCGGGTTTTTCAGGAAGAATAATTAACATTCTAGAACATAATAAATATAGATTATTTTAAGTTTATATAAGCATGTATTTTGTTCTGGACGCGGTTATAAAAATACAACGTGATCAGTTTTAAGAACAAATAAATTTATTGAAAAGTAGCAAATTTTATGTTTACAGTTATATTATACATATAAAACAATTAAATTTTATAATTTTGAATAATTAATAGTAACATTTTGAAATTCTTCTCTCTTTATTCTTGTTTGCTTTTTTTCTTGATCTGACACTAAAAGATATTCTAATAAATAAATAAATAAACATATATGCACATATATGCATATATAAAATGTAATTATTGTATAATATATGTGCAATTTTATATATAGTATTATGTATATAGTTGTATTATATATTATATACAAAGTGTTTCAGGAAGAATGATTAGCATCTAAAGTATAGATATATGAGATTGTATACCTTATTTTAAGCAATAAAGTTTATATAAACATGTGTTTCATTTGTGAACGTGGTTATAAAACTACAACGTGTTCAGTCTTAAGAACAAATTATAAGAACAATAATAAGAACATTTTTTTAACTTAATAAAAGCAAATTTTATGAAACAATTACATTAAATTTTAAGCTTACAATTTTAAATAATTAATTTAAATTAATATTAATTAGTAAACAATCATTTAAATTAATTAACAATAAATTTGGCATGAGTGTAAACATAAAACATTTTACCAACTAAGCTATTCAGACCCTTTCGATCCCATATTTTTCATTTGCCTTTTAAGTAGATGTTAGTAAATACCGCCGTGATTAGCCCAGGCGTGAATAAACTCAGAAATAAATATTTTTATCGGCTCTCAATATAAAGAATATAAGTATGCTGCCTTCTAAGCCGGGCAATAGAGCCAAGGAAACGAAACGAAAAATTAATTAAACGGAACTGTATCTCAATTTGAGATCCCAAAGTTCCACATATAAATTAATTTCGAAACTTACATATGGAGAAATAAGCGAGAAAAATATAGGTCCGAAAAGTCGCTGAAGCGGGAATCGAACCCGCGTCTTTCAGCGACTTTTCGGACCTATATTTTTCTCGCTTATTTCTCCATATGTAAGTTTCGAAATTAATTTATATGTGGAACTTTGGGATCTCAAATTGAGATACAGTTCCGTTTAATTAATTTTTCGTTTCGTTTCCTTGGCTCTATTGCCCGGCTTAGAAGGCAGCATACTTATATTCTTTATATTGAGAGCCGATAAAAATATTTATTTCTGAGATAAAACATTTTAATTACACCAGAAACAAAAAATTTCAAATTAACGCAAAACTTATTAAATGTGACCTAATGTTTACATTTGTATTCGGATAGTAACAGAAAACGACAAAAATTAAATAAAAAAATTAATTAATTAATTAATTAATTATTGTTTCATAGTATTTATTTCTCCTAAATTAATAAATGTGTTTGATCTTTAAAATTGAACACATTGTATCTTTAAAACCGTCCAAAATAAGATGTTTGTATAAATTTTTTGCTTAAAATAATTCATACAATCATGTTCTAGAATATAACCATAGAATATTAATCATTCCTTAAAACATCTTGTATATGTATATAGGATGTTCCACCAAAAATAGCCATTCTCTTTTATTTTTTAAACTAAAAGAGATAGACTATAATATACATATCAAATTAAATGGTCCAATCTGAATTCTATTGTAAGCATACCCAAGTAAGAAACAAATATATAAAAAATGTTTAAAACTCATTTCAAAGATATTTTTAAAATGTTAAAATAATTGATTAAGTCCCTTTTTATATAAGTCACATTTTAAAAAAACGTTTACCTTAATGTTAATTTAATATAAATATTTATTTAACATTTATTAAATATTTAATTAAGACATTTCTATCAGACTCTCAATATTAAATATAATACATATCGACATCCCATTTTATTATAGATACGTTGATGATATCATTATGACAGTTCCTGAGGAGAAGGTTGATTTGATTGTGGACTCTTTTAACAAATACCATGACAGACTCAAATTCACATTGGAATATGAGGATAACCGTTGTTTAAATTTCTTAGATGTATCATTAAAATTAATTAACAATACCATTTTTGTTGATTGGTTTCAGAAAAAAACATTTTCTGGAAGAACTCTTTCCTATTACTCTAACCATCCTTTCTGCCAAAAAAAGGCATTGTTTATAACTTAGTAGATAGAGCTCTTCTTCTTTCACATCCAGAATTTCATAAGAAGAATATAAATTTAATCATAACTATTTTACGTAACAACGGTTACCCTTTAGAATTTATTTTCTCCACTATTAACCTAAGAATTAAGTATCTTATTACTTCCAAACTAAATATCTTGACTAATGATAATAATATTACTAAGGTTCCTGAAATAGCTGGAGATAATAAAAAAAAGAATTTCTTTGTTATTCCTTATGTGAATAGCATTTCTGACAAAATCGCATCATCTATCAAAAAAACAGAAATGACCATAGGTTATCGTTGTCTTAATAAACTCAATCGATTTATCAAGGTTCATAAAGATAAAAATCAATTTTCAACTAATTCCAATGTTATTTATAAGATCTCATGTCGCGATTGCGATGCGACATATGTTGGCCAAACTAAAAGACAACTTAAAACGAGAGTTAAAGAACATGTAAATAATATAAAGTTAGATTCGTCAAAGCACTCGGTCATCTCGGAACATATTCTTAATTACCAACACTCATTTAATTGGGAAGACATAAAAATTTTAGATTCCGAATCTAATTTTCAGAAGAGAAATGTTTCTGAAATGATTCATATAAAGGAACAAAAAAACGGTCTAAACTTAAAAAAAGATACCGATATGCTTGACGAGTTATATTTTGACATTCTAGAAGAATTGTCTTATATATAAATAAATAGTAATAATAATAGGAATCACGGTTTGAATTCGACACATCATATTGTGACTCTGTATAATGAACACATTGACTTGGCGGAATCTTGACTACTCATCAATTTAAGTAAGCACTTTTAATCATAATCAAGATTTTTCATATAAAAAATAACTTATTAATATAAATTAATATACCAAAAAAATATACTTAGACAAACACGGTGAAATATAGTTGAATGATGAACTTACTCGGAAATATGCTTGATGATGGGGACTAACTTTTTGATGCTGGATAACATCTAATTGTTTCAATTCTCATATCAAGCGGTTCTGACGATATTTTCAACTAATAATGTTTAAAAGGATTGATGACGTGGAATGGACTGTCAACTTGTTCTACTAACAACAGTGAGCTCGTTTACATGTTTTTTGACACAATTAAAAGTTTACCATCTCAGTTAAAAAATGGTTAGCCGATTAGAAACAATATCTATTTTAATAAATGATATAAGCGTAACACAATATAAATTTAATGACTCATCAAACCAAAGGTTCATTAAAAATAGACTTTAATGCGTAATATTTCATAATTTTATTTAAAAGAATTTTTTATTGTTTTTTTATATTTACTGAAGAAGGCTGAGGTAACAGCCGAAACGTTTATTTTTATTATTATCATTGTATTTACTAAGAAATAAAGTAATTATGTGTTGACATTACTTCTCTCACTAATTTAATATGCTCGTTATAGTTGGCCCTGTTCTTTCTAAATCTTAATTTTATAATACATATGATAAAAAGGCTGTAAGAGCCGAACGCGGATGTTGCTGCGTGTATTCCGACGAAAATTAATTTTTCATCGGAAATAAATAATTATATGCACAAGGCACGAATTTTACTTGGTCACTGCCAAGACTTAAATATATGGAATAATCTCATCTTTGAGATTTAATTCCATTGAACCCCCTCTGACCCCCCTTAAAGAAATAAATGCGAGAAAAATATAGATCCGAAAGTGACTGAATCGGGAATCGAACCCGAGAACCTTATATTTAAGAGAACCGAAATATTTAATATTTTATTATTAAAATATTAATAAAATAAATGTTTATTTAACGTTTATTACATATTTATTTTATTAATATTTTTTAAAAATATAAAAATTTATTATAATAATATTTTTAAAAATATAAAAATATATAAAATATTTAATAAACGTTAAATTAATATTTATAATACATTAACATATAAAGTAAACTTTTTTTAATTAATAAAAAGGGACTTAACCAATTATTTTAACATTTTTTAAATAGCTTTTAAAATGAGTTTTAAACATTTTTTATACATTTATTTGCTACTTCGTAGTGGTTGCTTACTGAAGCTGTTTATGTAAACAAATGTTGAAGTTTGCACTCTCTGTTTCTCTCTACGCAGATATAAGGTGAATCAAAAATATTGTTTTCAAAATTTGTGAGCTTGTTCCTTTTTATGCAAAAATACACAAATTTTTTAAACATACTTTTGACTCACCTTGTACACACACACCGATTACACTTATTACTTTTAATGATGATATAATTTTTACCTGTTGTGATGAATTTTCTTCAAAGGAGGGGTGTCAATAAGGCCGTTTTTTGGACCACGTCAGAATCGCTCCAAACTGTGGTATTTTCTTCCTACCGATGTAGCTCACAACCTCCTAGAACCGTTTACTGTCCGAGCAATTAGAGTCTGAGAACGGGCAACTTGAAATCTCAAAAATCAATGGAGTTTTTCACATGGTGGTAGTGCCGGTCTCATTTCAGCATGTCATTGTTGAGCTTCCATCACCATATTTTCTCAAAAACTACTAGAGTATTTGCTGCTTTAAATACGAAAGGGAGCTCATCAGACCTTCATGCATTCAAGATAGAATCAAGCCTGGTATTTTGAACGGATTGCCATATTACTGAACAATCATGCAATAGCATTCCTTGCGATGAATTGGACGATACTACTATAAGCCCAAACTTGATTTTAAGGAATAACATCATTTTGCGAATGCAATGTATATTCGAAATCACATACTGTGAAAAAATATTTGAATTCCAAACCTCAGTGAAGAGATGTAAAGAATACCTTCCGGAACGGACTTCTTTTTCATAGAATGCAATATAAGTGCGATGAGAATAATGTGGTGACAGTTCACCTACAATGCTTTCAATTCAAGAACGCGCTAAAAAGACAACTGTGTATCCAAGTCGATGTTGAATCTGTTGAGAGGAACGAATGCCGGGAAGAAAAACAAAAGAACAAAGCTACTGGAAGTGTGGATAGTGCACAGTACTGTTCTCGTTTTGGGAATGCATGAATTGTTAATTAAAATGGAACGATTGATTATTTGTTGTACATACTGTGCAGCAGAACACAATAACCTGAATGATACCAATGCTCCGCGAAGCTGAGCATTGCATTCTATGAAAAAGAAGTCCGTTCCGGAAGGTATTCTTTACATCTCTTCACTGAGGTTTGGAATTCAAATATTTTTTCACAGTATGTGATTTCGAATATACATTGCATTCGCAAAATGATGTTATTCCTTAAAATCAAGTTTGGGCTTATAGTAGTATCGTCCAATTCATCGCAAGGAATGCTATTGCATGATTGTTCAGTAATATAGCAATCCGTTCAAAATACCAGGCTTGATTCTATCTTGAATGCATGAAGGTCTGATGAGCTCCCTTTCGTATTTAAAGCAGCAAATACTCTAGTAGTTTTTGAGAAAATATGGTGATGGAAGCTCAACAATGACATGCTGAAATGAGACCGGCACTACCACCATGTGAAAAACTCCATTGATTTTTGAGATTTCAAGTTGCTCGTTCTCAGACTCTAATTGCTCGGACAGCAAACAGTTCTAGGAGGTTGTGAGCTACATCGGTAGGAAGAAAATACCACAGTTTGGAGCGATTCTGACGTGGTCCAAAAAACGGCCTTATTGACACCCTTCCTTTCTTTTTCTTTAACGTGCGATTAACATTTATTATAGTAGTCAAAGACATTCGCTCTTCTAATTTCTTAATGTCTTTTAGACTTTGTACTGAAAAGTACGGTGGATCAACTGTAAATAATTATTATACAGTTATTATACATATATAAAAATAAAATATATATGTATAATTTCGAAAAAACATAAAGGTATTAACATATAATCATAAAAAAATTGCTGTGAAATGTGTATGTATACGAAGGAAAGGGAACAAGGAAATCATTTTACACAATTACTTAAATATTTAATAATGTTATTGAATTTAAAATTTGTTAATTTAATGTTGTTTGAAAATTTGTAAGTTCAAAAAATAAATGAATTTATCGATAATTCTTTAATTTAGTTGATAATTGAAGATATAAATTTATTGACATTTTTTGATTTACAAAAACATTTTTAAGAAGCCCTTAAATTTATTATTATATTTTTTGAAACACCATGATTACGAAATCAAAATATCAAAGCAGGAAAGTTTAAAATTAATGAAATTGAAATTAATAATAATAATAATAAATATTTAAACATTTCTTACTTGCATATTGCATCTCGCCAATTACTTTAATTTTATCTCCTTTCATAAGTTCATAATCGTTTTCTTCAAAATTTGTAATATGTACTTCTAATTTAAAGTATCCATCAGTGATGGATCCACATCCAATTTTCTTATTCAAATTAGTTTTATAAATTGGCTCAAAATTGGACTTTATATAGCCCTCTAATGCTATAAAAGAAAAAATATATAAACATATATAAATATATAAACATATAAATATATAAACATATAAATATATAAACATATAAATATATAAACATATAAATATATAAACATAAATAAATAAATATATAAATATATAAACATATAAATATATAAACCCAGCTAGCCAAGAGTGATAAAATCACGTTTCGTTAAAGCTTTTCGGCAAAGTTTGCTTTAATTTTAACAACAATTTTCTGGCAAACATTTGCCTTGCTTCGTCTTGTCTAAATATTTCGAACAAATTAACGGCAAAACTTTTCGTTATATGATGCTGCAATTAACAGAGAAAAGTTTGTTCGTAAATTTTACTTATAGAAGAGAACAAATGATGGTATCATGGTGAAATACAAACTTTACGTCAATAATAGCAAATCTTGTGATACACGATATAAAGCAAATTTGTGACAAAAACAGAGCAAATCTTGCCATGCACGGTATAACAAACAATTTACGAAAAAAATAGAGCAAAGTTAACTCTGATACGATAAGACGCAATATTCATGCAAATAACAGAGCAAACCTTGCTGTGCATGGCGTAATAGCAAATTTGTGGCAAAAATAGAGCAAAGATTTGTTCTGGCATGATGAGACGCAAAATTTACGCAAATAACAGAGCAAACCTTGCCGTGCATGGCGTAGTCATGTGTCACATACGTTTGCGCGCTACTACGTTTGCGCGAATTTTTGTCCTGTAACCTCCAGCACTGTTCCCGCGTTCTTCTAAATTCAACCACCGTGAGTGCTACCATACGTGCCGCAAGGTTATCACAGAGGTTATAATTCTAGAAGCTTCCCACATTTTTGAGACGAGCTTCCAAGTTCTAAGTGCCGCAAGGTATCGCAGAGGATTAGAAGATTTTTCAGGCAAGTATGAAATCAGTTAAATATTCTGTTTCGCGTAAATCTTTCCACCGGTTGTCTGCGAGACAACGAAGGCGAATTACTTTGGAAATTAAAAATACTTTACATTCAAATGTTTCACAAGATCCTGTTACGCACAAACAGTTGGATAATGCTGCTTCCTTTCACGTTGCTGATTCTTTTCGGACAGACAATAAAGTTTCTTTTACGGACAATATAGTATTAGATATATTCGTACTATTGTATATATTGTATATTTCAGGTGTTGCTGTTATTATTAGTTGAGAACTCCCAAGACGAAATTAATGGTGTTCAACTTGGCTCAGCGTCCAATAACATCGTCAAGAAATAAAAATCATTTCCGTTATTCAATAATTAGATATATCACCGTTAAGGCCTGAAAAACTCAATCAATCAGATGTCGCAGATGAACTGACAGAACATCTTTTTTTTCGCTATTAAGGTGGGTTTAGGATGAGCTTAACGTAACGGAACGTAACGGAACGCGACGGAATTCGGCTATTACGATCGCCTTTACGTAACGAATTATTAGAACTTAACGCGACATCAAGCTTTGCCAAGCTTTGTCGCGTTTCGCCTAGTCGGTCTTTAAAAAAATTTATTATAATTATTAAAATAATTATTATTAATTATAATTCTTATTATAGTTATAATAATTATTATAATTATAATCATAAATATGTATATAATATTAGTTACTAATATATTATTGTAATAATTATTTTATATTTATACAATTATAATTATTATAATTATAATCTTAATAATTATTATTCAATTATTAATTAATTAATTTTTTATTTAAAATTACATTAAAAACATTTTAATGTAACTTTTTTTTTGTTTTTTTACGCGCGCTACATTCGAGTTTAAGAATTTGACATTTAACATTGTGTTGCTCATTCGGAGCTTATAGCAATAGAAGATGTCAATTAACGACACGTTATTGATAGAGTGTGTTCGTGCGCATCCCGAAATATACGACAAGGGACATGCCGGATTCAAAAATTCCGGCATAAAAGACTCCGCATGGAAGATTGTTGGCGAAACATTGAATGGTAGGTTATATTGCATCTTTTTTTTAAAATTTATATTTATTACATTAATTTATATATGTTTTTTAATATCTTTTTTGTTATGATTTCAGCATCAGCGACAGATTGTACGGCCAGGTGGCATACTCTTCGCGAGAGATTCGCGAAAGAAAAACGTATTTTTGAGCAGGAGGGGAAGTCTGGAGCAGCAGCCTCAACCCGTCCAGAATGGGCCTTATATAGTGTTATGTCATTTCTGACACCGCACATTAGGAAGAGAAAGTAAGTTTGGTATATGATGGTTTGTTGTACGAATTTTCGAATAATTACGATAATTTTTTTAATTATTTCCGGTTGCAGATCTGTGGACAATTTTCAAACAAAGGCGTTGGTATCTAAAACTACACCTTCACCAGATGAAGAAATAATAATAAATGAGCAAGCTGTGGACATTAATAGCGCACCCTTTATAATTTCTACCTGTTCTACCCTCTCCTCGCCTGGCTGTAGCTCATCAGCTGCTAATATGCCTTATTTGGGACCTACAAGTCGTAAGAGGTCAAAGGTGGACGAAACAGATGAATTGTTCAGAGAGACTCTTACTAATTTAAATAAATCTATGGCTGTAGCCAGTGCTCCTACTCCACCACTATCATCACCACCTTCAATTAATGATCCAGACGTCTTGATTAGCAGAAACGTTGAATCTTGTCTCAAGAATTTGACAAATATGACGTTAAGACTTAAATATAGAAGAAAATTTAGATCTATAATCCAAGATTGTGAGGAGGAGGCTGAAGATATAAAATTATCAGAATTTATAGATATATAATTCGTTTATTTTATTATCTTATATTTTTATTTTATTACTTTATTTTATTTATTTCTGTGTTTATTTAAAAATAAAAATGTTTAATTCTATTTATTTCTGTTTAAAAAATAAAAATTCTATTTCTTTCTGTGTTTAAATAAAAATGTTTTATTCATGTTTTGTATTAAGATTTATTTAATTAAAAAAAAAACTCATGGCAGTAAGTGTAGATCTTGAGGGGGGATAATTCCTTGCCGGATCCTCACAATAGTGTCTTGATGGCGCATAACCCCAGGCCCATTCACGAATTCCTTCAGTGCATCTCTCTGTTTTAAAATTCCTAGAGCAGCATTTCTTGCACCCATCCGTGGACCATTAATGATGGCTCCATTTTCCCCACTGACAACATCATGCCATTCTCCTTCTATCAATTCGCCAGTTGGCAATTCTTGATCCACAAACGAAGGAGGGCAGTACTCCAGGTTGAGTTTCTTGTTGCCTGTCTTAAGGATGAAATTGTGGAGGCAAATAGTACATTCAATAATGCTTTCCACATTGTCTTCTTTACTAATAATAGGGCGACGAAAAACTCTCCAACGAGCTGCTAAAATGCCAAAGGCATTTTCAATCACTCTTCTTGCTCTGCTCAACCTAAAGTTATACACAGACTTGTCATGAGATATGTTACGTTCGCCATAGGGTTTCATTAGGTAAGATTTCAGAGGGAAAGCTGCATCTCCTACAAGGAAATAAGGCATATCAATATCAGTTTCTGGTAGGTTACTCGAATTTGGCAAATTAATAGATCCATCATTCAATCGCCGACCCATTTCAGACGATTGAAAAATTCCGCCATCACTTTGTGAGCCTTCTGCTCCTACATCGAGCATGATGAAATTGTAGTATGCATCACAAACTGCCAATAGAACTATGCTAAATGTTTTCTTGTAATTAAAGTAAATACTTTGAGAAGCTTGTGGGGCCTGCATTTGAATGTGCTTCCCATCGATGGCTCCCACACAATGGGGAAACTGCCATTCTTCCCAAAATCCAGCAGCCACCTCACGCCACTCCGCTTCATTTGCAGGAGGCTTTACAAATGCATTCTTCAAAACACTTACAAGTGCTCGAGTAGTTTCAGCCAGGATCTGAGAGATAGTGCTCTTGCCACATCTATAGGAAAAGCTCAGAGTACCCTGACTGTCTCCTGCTGCCAAGAACCTTAATGTTATGGCAAGTCTCTGAGAGGGTAAAAGAGTAGTGTACATTTTTCGTTTCTTTAACAGTGGACCAATTAAACTCAAGAGATACTCGAATCTAAGAAAGCAAAATATAATATGTAAAAAATAAACCCTATACGATCAAACCATTAATCTTTTATGATTCTTTATTAATAGACATTACCTTTCAACATTCATTCTTGTATAAATAAAAAAAAGTGCGGATCATTAAAACGGAGTTCTTCTAACAGATTATGTCCGTCACCAAACTGGATTCTTCTTCGAAAAATCTCTCTCACACCAATGGTTCGTACTCGTTTTCTCTTCCGCCGTTGAAGGTAAAAATATCCGATCGAAATTAAATTAAAAATTTGATAATTTCTCACAGCAGAATTCATTTTGATAGAAACTACCAACGAGAATGACAACAAGAATAATAACGCTGTCAAAATGCACGCTGTTTTTTTTAACGGCACGTTATGGCGATCGTAATTAGACAGATATACTTTAACGTTAAGTTTACTTCACGTCACTTCACGTCCCGTTGCGTTCCGTTACGTTCCGTTACGTTAAGCTCATCCTAAACCCACCTTTAGACAATAATGCGTTACTTCACGCGTATTTAGACGGCGGGAAAATTGATGCTATTTATTGCAGAATTATAATGGCTTTAATATAATTAACATATATAGTTAATTTAAAATCTTGATACTACAGTCATTTGTCATGTTTAAATTTTTAATCTCTTTTCAAATATAATAATTATAGACAAATATATATCTACAGACAGTATATTTATATTTATATAGATAATATATTTATATTTGTCTATAATTATTATATTTGAAAAGAGATTAAAAATCTAAACATGTTACGAATAATTCTAAGGCTCAAGATTTTAAATTAACTATGTTGATTATATTAAGGTGCGTACAGACTTGCAACAGAACATCGTAACGTAACGCCGTTGCGTGACATCGACGCAATGTATGGACAGTACCTCGCACCAAACATTTAAGCGTTACGGGGTATTGTCCATGCATTTCGTCGGTGTTACGCGACGGTGTTACGTTACGATGTTCTGTTGTAAGTCTGTACGCACCTTTAAGGTCATTATATAATTCTGCAATAGATGGTGTCAATCTTCCCGCCGTCTAAATACGCGTGAAGCAAAGCACAATTGTCTAAGGCCGATATTACATTCATACTACAAAATGATGGTGGTCGGACGTAACGATTGAATATTAGATAGAAACTTTAGAAATTCTCTATTCGTTAACCAATTGCTACGTTCGACAAACTCGTCGTACGATATATGTAATATCATTATAATAGCGAAAGAAAAGGTAGCTTCGGTCAGTTCCTTTCGTGACGCCGATTGATCGAGTTTTTCAGGATTGAGCAGTGATATATATACTAATTAAATAGCGGTCTATATATACATATAAAACGCTTATGTCTTTATATATATGATTATAAATTATAGATATCCGATTTTTTAAAAATAAAAATTTGAAGATAAATATATGGAAATAAATATAAAACATTTTTGATAATAGAAACTTTAAAAAAATTGCTTAAGTATTATCCCTCTATTTAGAGAGATTAATATATAGTATTAATTAAATTTGATATAATCAAATATATAAGCAAATTTGTAGCAAGAACAGAGCAAAGGTTTTAACAGTGCGGATTGTAATTAATAATAAAATAATGAGCTCATTAGGACTTTAATAGCATTAATTAAATTTTATATAAATAAATAAATATAAAAATAATTAAAATTCTATATATTTTTTATTAATATTAATAATAATAATAAAATATAAAGAAAATTTAATTATTTTTATCTATTTATATAAAATTTAATATACTATTAATTAAAATCTTTTTAATGAGCTCATTAATTCATTAAATTATTATATTAATTACAATCCGCACTGTTACGACAACCTTTGCTTTGTTCTTGCTATAATTTGCTATTAAAGTCATGCACAGCAAGGTTTGCTTTGTTATTTGCGTGAATTTTGCGTCTCATTGTGTCAGAGCAAACTTTGCCCTGTTCTTGCCACAAATTTGCTATCACATCGTGCACGGCAAGGTTTGCTTTGTTATTTGCGTGAATTTTGCGTCTTATAGTGCCAGATCAAACCTTGCCCTATTCTTGCCACAAATTTGCTATCATGACGCGCACGGCAAAGCTTGCTCTGTTATTTACGTGAATTTTGCGTCACGCTGTTGTGACAAACCTTGCCAGCAAAAGCTCAGCTTAATGCGGACACACCTTGTTGCAATTTTGCTACAAAGGCCTGCTCGAGTTTGCCGCAATCTTTGTGCAAAGTTTGTATCATTTTGCTAGCTGGGAAACATATATACAGAGTGAGTCTAATAGAAAATTCATTACGTTCTTCTCAAAAAAAAAGGTTAAAGATAAAGAAAGATATAAAGAATAATATATATTATCAAAATTATAGGTTTAAAAATATTGATAGTGGAACTTTACGTGACAAAAACGTTACTGTGCAGACATATATCTCCCTTTGCTTCCACAATCGTGTACTTGAACGCAAATTGTGGAGGAGAGAAAGGGAAGGTCTGCGCATGTGCATTTTTGCATCAGAACCAATAAAAAAAATAATTTTTTTTTAAATTAGTTCTGATAAATAATAATTCATAATTATAACATTTTTACATATAATGAAGAGTTCCTGATGGGGAGGGAAAGGAAGGCGCATGCACATTGCGTCAGGTATTATTATACATATATCGCAAAGCCGATATAAATTTATATAAGAGACTTCTGAACTGAATGAACGAAATTAGACTGTGAGTTTTTGTCTTGACCTTGCAACACCATTTAAGGTCAAAGTGATAAGATTTGTAAATAGATATTTTTATTATATACATAATATTTTTTACTTTTTTACCTGATTTTGAAGATATATGGAAACACTTATTAACTTTCTCAGAGATCAATTCAGAAACAATCTTTATTTACAATATCAAAGATGATAGGTTGAAAGGTCCGAAAGATTCACGAATGTTGACCTGTAATTAAGATAATTAAATTAATCTGTATGATTATAGAACATTACAATAAAGCTGATAATAAAATTTTTAATTATTATATTTTATAATATAAATAAATAATTAATATATGTATATAAATAAATTGTAATATATATATTACATATAAAAAAATATATAAAATATTAATATCTAATATATCAATATCTCCTCTATAATCTCCTCCTATATATCCTATATCATCTCAATTAACCCTCCCGTAAATACGTTCTACCTCAAATTTGGTTATGTCCTTCCTCTCCCCACCTTCTTTCCTAGCGTTATAATGCTTTATACATATATCTCTATATATCTTAATGTGTGAGTGTGTAACACATTTTTATATATAAAAGTATTATTATACTTCCCGCGTATCTTTCGAAGTTTGCACTCTTAAAATTCTTCTTCGTAATTATTTTCTCTTATTTTTTTTTGCATTGTACTGTCATATAACCTTCGCGATGTCAAATGACCAATAGTACTTACATAACACGAAGCATGTAACACCGTAAAACCAATCAGAGCGACGGAAAAGAGGCAACAATACACTTCGAGATTTTCGAGAGGCTTTCGATACATTCGAGAATCGACTTAACATTGCCTTTTTTAAAGAAAAAAAGGAAGAAAAGGATAAAAGAATAATATAAAAGAAACTAGATAATACAAGCGCGCGCTTTGCGCACGCCATTGATTTTATATGCTTTGATTTATATGCATTGATTTTATATGCTTTGATATTATAGTTTGTGGCGTCCTTTGAAGCGTTCAAATGTGTTTCGTTCGAAAATTTTTTTCCTTTGTATTTCATTCTGGTCCTAATATCTTTTCAAATATAACCCGCTAATGGCCGAAAGTCGCACTTGCGACTAGGTCAAAAAGAATTAAGAGAAGATTTAATATTATTTTGAACAACTGTCAAACTAGTAACCTTTGCGTTGACAGGCGTTCAATGCTACGAATATAACACACAACGCAAATCGAAACAACCAATCAGCAAAACAGAAAAGCGGCAACAATACATGCAAGAATCGACTTTACATGTCTTTTTTACAAAAAGGAAAAGGAAGGAATATAGCGGGGAGCACACTTTTGCATAGGCGCATAAGTGTAAGCATAAGAATTTTGATTGGTCTATAAATATCATAGAGAATTATATGTATATAGAGGACGCGAGTCGTGTGCTTGCCCGTAAGTGAATGCGATAGAGGAATAAAAGAGAACGCTGCATATGGGGCCCTGCTGTCTTTGTCTAATCGCGCATGCGCATGACATTTGAGAAGAATAATCGACTGTGATTAGATCATTTTCTACGATTTACGATTCTACGGACCAATGTAGACTATTTAAGAAATTCAACCATCAAATTTCTTATGCATATGCTTTATGCGCTAATGCGAAAATATGTGCTCCTCGCTTATGGCTTCGAAAATTTTTAGCATGTTTTCTCCCCTCTGACGTCACAATTCCAACAGGTCGGCGAAAGCCAGGAGCCGTAATTACCACTTATTTAAATATTTTGACAGTTTTGTTGTAGAAGAGAAATCTTTAAACAATCAAGATAATTTTAACAACAACCGAAACATCTTAAAGGCTTTGATAATTCTAGAATTCCAGAATTTTTTTGCTAATAATAAACTTGTTTTTTCATTGGCAAACATATATACAGTCGGACCTCTTATCCTACGACACTTTTATGCTACAAAACCTTTTAAGCGGGGAGCACACACTTTTGCATAGGCGCATAAGCGTAAGCATAAGAATTTGATTGGTCTATAAACGTATGCATAAAAAATCAATCAATCGAATTTCTTATGCATATGCTTATGCGATTATGCAAAAGTGTGTGCTCCCGATTTATCCTGCGACAAAAAACCTCTCATGCTACGACCGCGGAAGGAGAACCGTATCCCCACTTTTCAAATTTACATGGTAGTGCCGGCTCATTGGATTTTCGAATCTTGAGCAGAATTCAGGACCTCATTCGCACGATTCGGACTGTTCGAAACCCGAATCTTTCCAAATGGACTGCAGAGTAGGGATCCGTCTTTTTTGTCGTAGGATTAGATTCTTCTTCTTATTTTGACTGTTTGAGATTGTCGGGTCGAGTATGTTGAGGAGAAAATGGACGTGTTTTTTTTGACT